ACCTGTTTTGACTGCTCATTTGCAGAGCCGCTGGTTTGGTCTGGTAGGAAAAAACCTGGAGTTGACTGCATTCCTCTCATGTTCTGTGGTTATTTGAGCATAAAAGCATAAGCAGTGCTTTGACAGCAATACCAACACAGCCATTCACTTCCCTTTTCCTTCTCTGCATAAATCAGAATCACCATACAAGCACAGATCTGGTGCGGTAGCAATTTGTGACATTAATATATTCAAAAACCTTCAATTACATGACTGTGAGAGTGAGCCTTAAGGCACAATCATGGCACGCAATAAACCAGTGAGTGGGGGCAGGCGCACACACTTGACATCACCGCACGAGAGGTCAGTGAGCATGTGACCCGTATTTGCACTCGCACCCGCTGTGCCACCTCAGGTTGCAGCTTTTATTCGCATGGCTTAGGCATGGCACCTCACAGGCCAATGCTCTTAGGGCAGAGCAGGGCCAAATAGCTTGCAGGTCCTGCTAAGCTGAGATCATCTGGGAGATTTGCAATGCACATTTTAGATTTGAATGCAAAGCAAACTGGTCTAGCCCAGGTTGGCAGGCATATGTGCTGACCCTTAGTCTCCTCTCCTGGCACTGAGAGAAGAACTGTTGGATATATATGCAAATGCAAACTGATTCTGGATTACTGATAAAAACCTCCACCCCTATAAAGCGCTGCACACACATTACTGTGTACTGTCACAACACAACATCAAAAGGTGAAGTGAATGGCAACTTTCAATCACTATGGGAAGACCTTTAAATTGATAAAACTTGGAATCTAGTTTTGTCTTTGTCTTATCATCGCTAGATTAGAACAGTGACATTAAGTATTGACGATTTCTCCCCATATGTTAAACCTCCTGAGGGTGAGACAGCGGGCTGTGTGAGAAACAGGCCGCAGAGGGGCCGCCAGGAACGAAACCACAGCAATCCCTTTCAGTCACCTCTCCCCAGGGGGAATCCTCTTACAGCACATCCCCTGAACCCTAAAGGCCATTTTCTATGGAAAGGTAACATGGTTATCTGCCCATCAATGGAACACAATAGGTCAATTTTAAAAGCTGAATGGCTGGAAACTGGTAACTGACAAAGACGGGTTTTAACTTCAGGGCATGTCAAAGGAAGATTGACTTTCAATTGAATAAATTATTTCACTTTGTTACTTCCTTGTATATGCGAGGCCACTACAAGGAGCATACAGATTTCCGCTGTTCTTACAGCCTATGTTTAGATTAATTTAACACCTGTCCCCCCTGATGCATATACACAGAGCCTACAGTGTAAGGGTTGCTAAAATGGATTAATGATGCCGGTGGTGGCTATCCAAACATAGAACTCAACTTGTACGACAGAGCCGGCACTAAAACAGAGGCAGTCGATGCCTTAATAAGGGTGAGGTGTCTGCGTAATGTCTGTCCACACTCCAGTTTAGGAAGTCTCTGTTTGAGCCGGACAAGGATCATGGGCCATCATTGCCCACACCTCACTATCATCCCTAAAGATAAGGCTGCTGACGGTACCCATCAGTGGAGGCATTTAGCATGTGCAGTTTTAGACCCAATGCTGTTATTTTTCCAAGCACACACTTGGTCAAAGACTATAGCACATTCAGTGCATGTTTGCCACCTCTCTGACAAGATAATTGCCTTCTTGGCACTGTGGTGCTATCTGAGAGGCAGGATACAGTCTCTCTCACACACACACACACACACACACACACACACACACACACACACACACACACACACACACACACACACACACACGACATCAAGCAAACCTGCTTTATGACTTAGGGAAGAACACGTGTTCTACATCTGACCATTCAGACTTCTGGTTGTGGGTAATGTTCACAGACATCTAAAACTGTAGCGCGATAGACGTCACCAATAAGCTAATAGCGCCAGGCCTTGTATAGATGCGTGCCAAAAAGGGCTGTTTAGTCTGATAGGGGTATGAGATGCAGGCCACTAGATCAGCAGGACTTTATTAATGACCTATTGCTTAAAATAAACCCCATCACTGAAATTCACGTGCCTAATCCATTTCAAGATACAGGGCTTTGACATTTGATTAGCCGGTATTCAAGTATAGAAAATGCTGGAGGGTGTCCAGGGTGTCTGGATGAAGGCCACTCACTCAGACAGTAGTTGTGCAGGTTTGAATGTTTGGGATTCCTTGTTAAAAATTGGCAGGCTTACTCCCAGTAACTATGTGGTAGACATGTGAGGAGGGAAAAAGAGGAGGTATGTTTGGTAAATGAGAAACTATTCAGCTGAGTTGGAACTAAACATTCCCTGAACAGTGCCAGCGCTTCTCAGCTGATGCACTGCCCATGTGGGTTCAGGACTATATTTGGAAAATGACTAGCAGCATATGACTTAAAGTTTCGACTTTGTGAACGCGGGTATGCAGGTCACTGGATATAGTTCTTCACATCTAACCATAGTTTAATTTTTGAAAGTGTCAAAACATATCCAAACTTGAATTCAGTCACTGATCAAACTGAACTGTGCTGTGACATCTACATTGTCATTAGATAAGTGCCTATCTCCCCCAGGGTAAGTAGTCCCACACATGACATATGGGATACCAATCACATGACACCACAGGTCCAGCTGGAAGATCAGAGCTTGTGGTGAAGTAAATGTGCTTCAGGGTTTCTCCAGTCCCCAAACAAAAAACAACAGTGTTTAAAATGAACGTCCTTTCACTGGCAATAAACATCCACCAACCACTGCTTGATCTCCTTGAACAATGCAAGTGATTAACAACAGCCTCAATACACAAAAACAGTCCCTGTCCTGGTGAGGAAAACAACCTGAGGCAAATGAGAGCAAAGGTCTTCAACACAGTGCTGCTTTCTGAGGGTTTTAATTTGACTTCTTTCAACAACTCTGGAAACACCCGTGTTTGCCATTTGTGTGAACAGATCAACACAAGGCCACGACCCGGCTCTTGACATGGGTTTTACTTCGGTTTTGATGCTGCCTGTCTTTGGTATGGAAGGATTACACAAGTTGTCCTTCAGCCAAACAGCATCAGCGGTTACATGCTATTTTGTGGCTGTGTACTGTACAGCAGTCACTGAGGACAACACAAGGTCTTTTGTTTTTCATGGAGGCAGTTGGCGGCTTCTGGCTCTCTCTTGGCCACATACTTTGCTGCTCTTGGACAGGAAGGTGTTAAACATGTATGCGGAGCACGAGCTGCTGCGCTAACTTTTCGAAGATTTACCTAATAAAGAAAATATACCATGTTAAAAACAAAAGTTAATTTTATGTTTAAGTTGTTTAAGTACTTGAGCTCAATTTTCACCTGTGGAGCGGTTTAAATGACGACAACAAGCCGGGCCGCATTTTGAATTTTAGTTGTTTTGTTTATTTGTTTTGTGGGTCTGACTGCTTAAGGCAGATCCAGTTTCTCACAGAGTAATTGTAGTCTACACTCAATGACAACGCCTCTCACCAAAGCAAATGGCTATTTAGCTTTGCTAGACCACAGTGAGGAAAGTTAAGTTTCGGGGATGACTTTGCAAGGCTACATCATCTGCTTTGTTAAACTCTTGAGTGTTAAGACAATCACTTTCCATAAAGTTAAATTTATTACAAGAGGACTGCCTAATATGAACAATCAAATGTAAGTTGATGCTCACGTTCATGTACAGGGACCGTATGTAAAATGCTAAATATTCCCATGAATGTTCTGCTGTCAGCTCAGTTCACTTCTACCATATTTGAGAGAACCGCTGAGTCAGATTAGCAGGAGACTGACAGCAATGGGACCTGTGTAGACAACTAATCCTCCATCCATGCGTGCCCTGGCCGAGCTCTTTTCACTGGACATATTGAAACTAACCCCTCCACAATCCCCTTTAGCTCCTAACTATGTCTGAACACTGGCAGGCGTGCCTCAATCAGCAGCTACAGCGCTACAACGGTGTCATGGTTGCAAATAATGACAAAACAACTCACCCTGAGATTAAAAAGGAAGTCATCTGTGATTTGTTTTGGGGATTTTCCACATATCTTTGACAGTGAAGCGAAGGACTAAACAGCTTAGTCCCACTGCTGGCTATATAAACAGCCCATTACTCCTTTTCCTTTATAATATACACACGCACTTCACTTTTTTATGCGTTTGGAACGATAAAACTATTTCCATCCATACTTCAAATACCATTTGGTGTCCCTCACCAGACATACCTATGCTGTGACTGAACTTCAAAACCTACTGATGTCATTCATAGCAGGCATTCCTCTCAGTGCCTGGAACAGGTAGGGGTTTTTTTTATAGAGTACAGATCCTAAAAAGCTCTAAAACAGAGGTCTGACTATAAAATGATTGAGAGCCAATCATTTAGACTTACTCACCACACCAGAGCAGTGATTTCAAAACAGAGGACAACACTTAAATGAGTACTGGTTACACATCAGTATTACTCATTAAAAACAATAATTACAGTGAGTGAGTGTCACTGTCATTCCTCACTAGTTGAGTTAGGTAACAAAACTGGTTTAGATTGGAGACCCTGAGGCAAAAGGTCTGTGGACTAAAGTGTTACTGACATTTTTAAAAAAGTGTATTAGGGACTGACTGAAACATTTCTTTACCTACAGTGTAGTGCTGAAATCAACTAATGCTTGTCACTCAAAAAAGTATCCAAACGTTGTAATGAGCAGCAATTTAACAGCTATCTCAAAGGACGGATCATAGCTAACACCAAGTGAACCCGCTTAACGTTGCTAACATCAGTAAGTGAGAGTAAAGAAACTGCAGTCCCATTGTGAAACGCTTCAGTGGAGGTATGCTGACACACAGGAGTAACGTTAGTATCAACGAAACTACGTTAGCTAGAGATAACCGAGGAGCGAACCAGGAGTTGAGATAGAAAAGCTTTTTAAAGAGCAGTACTGTCGTTAATGGGCTTTTGTTTTCTTTAAAAAAAAAAAAAAAAAAGGGAATTAACATTAAAGTGCTCCAGACTTACCTTTCATCCAGTCGACAACTTGCTTTGGCGTCCACTTCGTTATCGGCTCCATGGCTTCTTTAATACCAGAGGCAAAAAAAAAAAAGATGTGCCAAAGTTTGGCGACGTGGTTCTATAATTGAAATAAAGGAGATAATTTGCTGTCACATTGTTCGCAAAGGGTCGGTGCTGTTCGTCTGTTTGTGTTCACCCTCTCTATCACTCTGTGCACGCGGGACTAGAGGTTGGACTGAAATACGTTTGGGATCAGTGCTGCGTTCACTGGCTGCCGGGAATACTGGGGGAAAATCACAACTTGTGCGCAAAAGCAAACCGTAAAATGAAGTTATTTCCTCTGGCTCCGATAAAAGTGAATGACCACATAGCTTATGTTATTTTCCATTTTATTAATATTTAATTTGTATAGTTATGAACACAAATGTGCATGGTTATAGAAACTAATGTATACCATGATGCATTTCCCCTTTTATTTTCTGTTAAAGTAAGTATTTTTCGATTGATTTTATAACAGGCAATTGTACTTTTCTGTACAATTACATAATAATTTAAACAGTTTACCGTATTTATTTACCACTTCGGGAAATGTAATTAGAGGGTTACAGAGAGCACGTGAATGCAGCGTATGATGTTGGTAGTTTCTGTGTTCACCGCCCTCATTTAAACTGGATGTGTGTTATATTGAACTATGTACTGCCCAGTATATGATTTGTTGCTCCTAAAAATAAAAAGATATACAAGAACACACAGATATGTAAACATAATGTAAATGGTGGGTCACAGTTAAATATCAGTGCATAATTATTTACAATGTGTATTAAAACATTAATACAGTTTTTTATATTTATGGGCCATAGCTCACTGGTGTATTACTAACATGATATTGAGCCATTACTGTGATATTACCATAATGTGTTCAATCATATATAATATCATGTAAGAGAAACATCAGAAGGGACTTAAACTGAATGTGACTCACTGCTGCTCTCTGTTGGTACCTTCCCTTTTTGCAGGCTGTCTCAATCCTACACCCATGCAAACAGTAATGATTTACATTGTTTACAATCACAGTAATTTAGAAAAGAAACCCAATCCAATAATATAATGAAAATGGATTGTAGGCTATAAAGGAGTCCACAGCCACCTGAGATACCCATTTGGATGTAAAAAGAGGGATTTCTTTTGGTGTATTTGAACATCAAAGAACATTTTGGATTGTGATTTTCTCCTGACAGTGACAATATGTAACCATAAAGAATGAATTTGACCAGAAATCATCTTATTACCTTGCTCTTGGCTTATATGCTGTCATAAACTATATGCAACATGATATAGACCAGGCTTGGTGAGGTCAAATGTAGATGTTTATTGTGTGGCAACAGCTAGTTACTACACAAGATAATAGAAAGCAGGAAAAGAACATCAAGCGGAGTTAGAATTGGGGAATATCAAAATTAAAAAAGGACCTTCTTCAAGTCTCGTTTATTGAATAGTGATTTCACAAATTGTAAGTGTTGCAACCTCAGCATTTATTTTCCCTTTCAATAAGAGTTTTTGTAAAGAGTTTAAGTAGTTTTACTGTTATGGTTTTTGACATTAAGTGACCTTAACAATCTGAAACACACCTTGCATGGGAGAGTCCTGGCCCTTCCCATCACTCCCTTATTGTACAGCTGGAAGCTGTTGTTCACTCTGCACTGTAATCAGCTGCAGATTAAAGCTATACTGTTGTTAAACCTGGGCACATCAGTTTGCTGTCAGGCAAAACATCAATGGAAGTGGAATAGAGTTCTATACAACAATTTGTTCTGCTTCTCCTCTTTTTCCTTGTTCCAACATGCTGGTTTCCTTGCTGGTTGGCTTGAACCAAGTTGTATTTTGAATAACAGTCCTTCCTTTAGATTAAAGTTAATTAAAGATATTTTATCTCAACCAAGTAATTATGGTGATGATTGACATGCAGAATGCCCGAGGTAATATAAAACCTAATGCCAAGCTGACAGAAATAAGAAAGAAAGAAGGGAGGGTGAGCGTGAGACAAGGTGACAGTATAAAAAAGTATCTGTATAAAGAACTGCAGATCTCTTATGTCAGAGAAAGCATTAAAACACACAGATTTCTCAACTTTCTGGAGTTTGGGTGGAAACTATACATCACTTTGCAGTCTTAGGTGACTAATGACCCTTGAAGCATTTTTAACCTCCTTCAAGACCAGATACGGTATGTTGGTGTACATTGTTGCCAAGCATCACAAACATTTCTGAATGCAGTGAACGGGAGGGTCTGAGCCACACTTAGTTCTCATGAGAGTGTGCTGGATTGAAGGGGATTTGGGTGCTGAGGAATTCAGGGGAGGTCTTCCCTGATAGGATTAAGTGAATCATGGGATTGTTGTCGAGGTGAGATGGAATGGGTGTTTGGTCTGTTAAGTACGAGAGGGCCCGAGCTTTAAGGCTGAGAGACGGATCACCAGATGTAAAACTGGAAGAACGGTATTGGTTCTTCTTGCTGTCTGAGGTCAGAATTACAAAGGGAGGGTTAAGAAAAACTTAACCCTACATACAAAAGATCACCTCAGATTATTAAAATGACCTAGCATCTGAGCAAAACTAACTTCTTCATCCACACTAAAACAAAGACTTGTAAAGATAAGCAAACTCTGCATAAGCTCCCATGTATTCTGAATCAACATTTATTTCACCCTCAAAAGACAGGAAGTCCAGTTTTGGCACTGTATATTATTCTGGGATCTACATTAAAAATCAGGCATCTAATGTCATATAAACAAAGGCAGGCACATGAAACATCAGCACAGGAAGTTATCCACTTCACTATCTAATATGACAGGATATGAAGGGCTAAAGATGTTGTTATAATAGAAATAAACCCACTTCCTGCCACTTGCAGGTTTACTCTGTTAACGCTGAACAGATTTATCGCAGAGGAAATGTCACATACACGGTAGCTAAAACACAGTGTGACACTGTCTCACATGTGTCATGTGGGTGGCTATATTGTATATATATCACACAATATAACAGATCAGGGATTCAGCATATTATTTCATGATTATAATAATATGTTTTCAGGCAACCCCAAAGCAACTAATAATGAAATTATTAACAACTTTGGACTTGCAATGCATTCATGTAGTTCAATGTTGCCAGGGGAATTTGTAAAATAAAGGGTATCATATCATTTTAACTGCTCACAGTTATTATTGTTACCTCTGCACTATACTCTTTTTGCTCCTCTTTGAGGCACAAGATCCTAGACATTAGCACTGACATTAAAATGTCTCTTCACAGTGTAAAGGAGGGGTTTAGGTTGATATAAAGAAAGCAGTGTAGTAAAAAAACACACAGAAGATCCTGTGTGCTGATCTTGTTGCTGGGGATTTTGGCCTTAAAGGGAGGACGAAGCTTCAGACTCTTGAAGTCTCTTATGAACCCATTTGGGAAGAAAATACATGTCCCAATAACATCAGCCAAAATATGTTTATACAAAGATTTTCAAAATAAAAATGCAAAATGCACTTGTCCGTGTATGACATTATATATCTCCCTAAACTCTATGCAAAATCTTTTGTGAATTTGTGATGTGTAAGGTTGAGTTTCAACCTCACATCTCAGTTATAAGGTCAAGGAGTACACATTGGTGTTCAAACAGAAATAAATATAGTCTTTTCTCTCAGTCTCACTATAGAATAACAACTGAAGATCTTAACAGTGAAACATCAAAAGAAAGAAAGAAAGCTGTTGAACAATATGCTTGCATTTCTTTTTACGGGGCATTCTGTGGGGTTGAAGGGATGGTGGGTCTGGCGTTGAGGTACTCCAGAACAAAAATCTGCAGGATCTTGTTGAGGTTCTGAATGGTGGAGCGATCCAGGTTCTGCTCGTTGTCATCAAACGTGTGCCACACGGACGGGAAGGGGGTGGGGATGAGGTGGAGGATACGTACACCTGATAGGAGGGCACAGTATGAGGATGACAGAGCTACACAATAAATGTAATAATATTTGCAGTACTTGTGTCACTTGGTGTGCATACCTCTGTTTAGGAATGGTATATGATCATCTTGTATGTGTCCGACAGGTCGATCTGGCCAGAAATATTGCACGTTGTTAGGATGATCCACGAGCTGGTCCATGGAGTGTAAACGCTTTTCTAAGGATATATGAGGGAGGACAAAGAAAGAAAAAGTGCATATGTTAGTTTAGGTTACAGAAAAAAATATTAGTTATTAATAGTGCAATAAATCAACAATTCAAGAATGAGCTGATTTGGACCGTGTGGGTGTGGTTTGATCCATTTGGGTTGACAGTGCTTGCAACAGAAGCAAACAACCCCACACCTGATCACATTTTGAATAAAATGTAAATCCTGATTGGTGCACGGAAGTATATGACATCACCTTTTTCAAACAAAGCCCCACCCACTTTAAAACAAGTAAAAAGCACAGACATAAAGGGCCAGAAAATAGTATATTAATGTAGCACAGCATCACACTTAGAACAAAGCTGATTGAGACCTTGAGTTGCTTTAATGTTCAAATAGCAATTTAAACGTACAACAAGTTGTTTTCCACTGGATATAAAAAGTTTAAAATGTAATACTGATGCCTCTATTTGACCTGCATAAGCACACAAGACCATCAGTGAGAGGATTGGCTATTCTATGTAGTTATTCCTAATGCTTAGTCCAGATTTCCTTTAAAATCAATTAAACGAGGCAGTGGAAACACTTCCAGCTTGTTGCTGCTGTTTCCACAGTAAAGGCATAACAACATAAGGATGGCAAAGAAGAGAAAGATACAGTGTGACAGATATGCAGCACAGTTGCCACATTGGCCTTGATACAATGATGATTAATGTATTAATGACTAGTGATTAATGTGACTCATATTTGTGCCGCATCTTCAACAAGGTAAAAAGACCTATGTAGTGTACAATAATGTAAAACATTTGATTACTCACCAATGCTCTGCAGCCTGGAGAGCCAGTGCATTGTGCTGGGGAACTGGTTGCCGAAGCGTGGACTAGAAGCCCCGATCAGGTCCAACAACACAAACAGATCCTGGAGGAGATGAAACAGGGGTGAACAGGGTGTCATGAGAAACTCCCTACACATCCTGAAGTCCCCATTACACCTAATCACACCTCAGAGCCCCGACTTTGAGTGTGGTGTGGTGGTGCAACACATCAGTGCTTCACGTTATCTCTGCAGCAGACAAAACACAGTTGTCTGGCTGTCTACAGGAGCACACACACACACACACCCACACACACACACACACACACACACACACACACACACACACACACACACACACACACGCACTTGGTTCTTTAAGATATAGTCTGCTTTATCTCTGTGCCCACAGGAATGTCTACATTTGTTGATACATAGTTACACTATCTCTTCACAGCTAGGATACAGAAACATACACCAATTAATGTGACATCTTGTTATCATAGACTGTGTAATAAATTATGTTTGATAATCTCTCAGATGATAAAATGGGCTGCTTTGGGATTTCTATGGAATTTCTATGTCCCCCTGCACCTCCCTTGCTAGGGTGTCTGTGTGGGCTGTGTGTGTAAGAGGAGATCAGGGCTAAGCAGATTGTACTGAAATTGATGTGGGCTAACAAAGGGATGATCTCCAGAGTGATTAAATGATTATGTTAATCGCAGGTGATTTGGGTAGAGAATGGTAAGCAGAACTGTGAGCTACTATGCCGTGTAGTTGGTTGGTGTCTGTGGCTCCGGCGGGGTGTGGGGTAGTCTCCATCTTCTGGGCAAGGTGGCGAGAGCCATACAGGGAGTCTGTAGACGTCCACTGGAAAAGAGCCTCCTCTCCGTCAAAGAAGACCAACTGCAAGGTCAGGTTGGGACTGGAAATCTACATCGGAGGTAAAAATAAGACAGTTATGTGTTACACCTGTTTGCATCCACAGAGCTTTGCTGCCCCCTTGTGGTCTTGGGATTACAGTGACACATAAATTGCCCAACGTTTTGTCCTTAAAAATATACTCCTGTAATAGTATGTTTACAGTTTCCTCTATCTATCATTTAACAGCTATCATATTGATTATGTGTCCACCTCCACAGCAGCGAATGTATTTGTATTCATTGTGATTCCTATTCCCACAGTGACCTTTGTGACAGACAGCTGAATCTGATAAACATGTCCCTTGGCTGATCTCTCCCTGTCACAGGCCCTGTCAGTGTCCGCCCAGTAGACAGGGGTCTGAGCTCAACTGTGAAACAGGAAAAGGGCAGAGGAGCAAGCTGCATGAATACAAAGTGTTTTTCCTTATGAATCACTTGTTTGTGGAGCAATCCAAAATTGTTGATGGCAGATTTGTGTTAATTCTTATAAAACAGAACCAGTAATTATAGATTTTGTACTTAAAATGTTGCTGTTGCCAATGATGATGTGTTGGAGCAGAGGTTTGTTCATCCATAGACGTTTATGGGTATTAAACCTACTATAATAGAACATTTAGATTTAGGCCTTTGCTTACAAAGTGATACACACATTTTACTTCTAGTGAGCTGAACCATCCAACTCTTAGTGACTGACTCAATGAGATTGCTTAATGTTGCATTCACATGGATTCAGGCAGACAGTAGAAGGCAGACAGACAGCACCTTCCTCATAGCACGGGAAAAACAAATGGAGAGAATGGCAGGACAGAAAAACGAAACATGCATGACAAAATGTTGCTATGGTGTGTATGGTTTTTTTACTACACTGCTTTCTTTATATCAACCTAAACCCCTCCTTTACACTGTGAAGAGACATTTTAATGTCAGTGCTAATGTCTAGGATCTTGTGCCTCAAAGAGGAGCAAAAAGAGTATAGTGCAGAGGTAACAATAATAACTGTGAGCAGTTAAAATGATATGATACCCTTTATTTTACAAATTCCCCTGGCAACATTGAACTACATGAATGCATTGCAAGTCCAAAGTTGTTAATAATTTCATTATTAGTTGCTTTGGGGTTGCCTGAAAACATATTATTATAATCATGAAATAATATGCTGAATCCCTGATCTGTTATATTGTGTGATATATATACAATATAGCCACCCACATGACACATGTGAGACAGTGTCACACTGTGTTTTAGCTACCGTGTATGTGTCATTTACAAAAAATTTAATTAAATATATTAGATAAAATAACTTCTGGTAAATTATTTTATGTAATTTATTCATTATTAGCGTCTCATTTTCCAGATTGCCCACGTTATCTCCTTGTGTAAGGGACCCATGTAACATCCGGTTTTCCATTGGGGAGTACAGAAAAAGAAATATTTTAACTTTGGACGGCAAACTGTTGCTGCCGTTCTCTGCTGGCCTCATCTGATATCCTGCTCTTATCCATAAACATGGCGTCCAGTTTGCCATATACGCTTTGCCTGAATCCATGTGAATGCAGCACAAAGGCTTTTTATAGAACATAGATAGATAATATCAGCCTTATCCTTTATCTATTTTGAAGTGATACAATTTCTTATGTTTGAGCGAAATGGAGAAACTCACCCAATGTTCCTAGAACTGGTCTTGTCTGTGACATGTTTAGCCTTGTTTTTCCTAGAACTTACTGCCATTGTTGCTGTTGTATGACTTGCCTGTGATTCATGGCCACAACTCGTCAGTGCTGTAAGTCAGTAAGTACTACAAAAACTAATACAAACCCCTAAATGGCCTGAATAACTATTTCATGCACATGACAGGCAGATAGACCAGTAATGTATAGCTTTAAGTTACATGCTTAAGGTCACCACCTTCTGAGCTTTCAGTTCTTCATCCAGGGCTCGGGCCAGCTCCAACATCATGGCACAGGGAACGGCAGAATCAGTGGCACCTTGGAACTCCCTCTCGTGCCACTGTGGTGGGTAGTACTTGGAGTCGTAGTGACAGGCCAGGACCAGGCGGCGCTTGGCTGATGGGTTGAGGGTGGCAATTAGGTTGGTGAAAGGCAGGGGGCCATAGGGTGTTTGTGACACAAACTTATCCTCTGTCACTTCCCAGCCAGCTCCGAGGGAACGGATGGTTGTTTTGATATGCTGTAACCACACAACGATTACTTGTTAGCAATGAGCATTCAGTACATACCTCACTTTATCACCACCCCACTATGTAGTGTTTTACATGAGGTAAAAGTAACAGATTTTAACATGTTTCTTTGCATTTATTAAAATAGGTGTATATCATCAGTGAATGTTTCATGTTCAACGCATTGCTTGTGGGTGGTAGTGGGGAAGTTATATGTTTGTCAGTACAAGTGTCTGTGTATTTGAAAGTGGTCCAAATAAACTCACCTCCTGTACAGCCTGGCTGCCTGCAGAGCCTGGGTACCTGGTAACCAGCAGCGGCCTCAGGTCCCTCACCCACATCTGCGACAGGTCAGTGTGAGACAGGGCAGTACTGACCTCATCTTGTGTTAGAGTGAGAGCTCGGTGATGGAGCTGAACCCAACCAGAGGAAAGAAACAAGATAATATAAAATGGATGAGAAACAGCATTGGGTACAGTTAATAATTAGGAAGCAAAGAAGTGTGTTCAGAAAGACCAAGAAATGCTTACTCAGTTTTAGTTCAACATTTTCCTGATATAACTGCAAGGGCGTCTTCTTATGATGCGTTTTAATTGAGCAACAGTGTGGATGACACAGCTTGCAGAACAACTAATTGTAGTGTGTCACAACATTCTTTCACGTCACTGGAAAATGTTCACTCGGTCTGCCAACAGTGGAATTTTCAATTATAAAGTTGCTAGGGACATCTGAAGAGAAAATCCATCATATAGGAGAGATTTTTCCTACATGACAATGTCGAAAAAATCATACAGTATGTGAAAATTAAAAAACAACATTGTGATCATGTTATTGTGTCAAACAGTGTTTTAGATGAGCTGTGAAGCTCACTCTAACACTTCCCCAGAGAGAGACACAAGAGCCACTTAGACCAGTGTGAATAGACACTGATTGAATTGCTTCGAATGCACACGCAAGCTACTTTGGAAAAGCAGGGATCTATTGAATAGAGAGGCAGGACAGTGAAGGGTGCTTGTCAACATGTTATTGCTCTCTCGTGGTCTGGGAAATAGAAGTGATTGTAAAAGAGAAGAATCAATCTGTTTGGGCAGTTTAAGGAATCATATGGATTGGGAGCTGAATGGGTCGATTCAATGCATGATAAATTACAGTCATGGGTTAAAAAAAACATATTGATCCTCCAATCCCATGGCTCCTTTTCATTTGGTCTCAAAGTTCACCTGCTGAGAACCATGGTTGTCGTGGTAACAAACTGAAGGACAGGGAGCAAGAGGGAAAGAGCTGATGGTGAATAGTCTGTTTGTACACTGCTCCAGCCTCCAATAACAGACCCTCTGTAGTCCTTAATTGACAATGGGATGGAAATTAGAAGCATATTATTTAGTTCTGATAATTATTTTAAATATCAAGTATTTTTTTTATTTTTTTTTATCAGTCACTTGATGTCAATTGAAAATAAATCGCATCACATAAACCCAAAGCCAAGGGCGACATTTTTTTATGTTAGCCCAACAGTCCAAAACCCAGAACAACAAAAAGCTAGAACCAGGAAATTTTTTTGCTTAATATGTACTGTAAGTCTTCAGACTGAACATTTTCACATTTGTTGTTCCTCCTAATTTAGTTTCACTTTACTGTCTCAGACAATAGGGGAGGGCACATTCCTTAACTCTGTTCATTACTACTTAATGTTTATGCTCAACTGAAGCATAAACATTAACTTACAAAACCTTTTCACAGCATGAGCTCGGTCCATACTGACTAGGACTCATACATCAGTCCTGTAATCACAGAGTGGCATACAATGCAAAAAGTATAATTATGTGGTCACACAGACTGAATATAGTTATGCGAAGAGCTGAGGCGCACTGGGCTCAGAGAGGGTTAAAAGGGGGTCCACTTAAGGTCTATAAATACCAAGACCTGCAATTGGAGGATCAATGATGATGACTGTGCTGCCATAGCAACTAGGCAAAGAGGAGAGGAGAAGAAGAACATAAATGAAGAACATGAATGGCCAGGCATACCCAGGTGAATCTCTGGAGAATTACACAACTGTGCCAGAAAACAATATCATGAATAAATATATTCATATATTATGTATATCAAAACTGAAACTGGGAACTTTCCATAATAACAGTCTACGTACTAATCTCCATCTTAAAAGGAAAAGCATACACTACCAACCAATATAAACTAATATATATACAATAATAATATATAATAACAACTACCACACCAATATAAACAGAAGTGAATTATTTCAAATTCAAATGTTTTTTCTAACAAAACACTTCAAGATATTGAATTCATTTGTTTTTAAATTACAAAAAGATAAATCAGATAAGTCAAAAGTAGGCTACATAATAATACAATTGTAAAAACACAGCATGTGGCAAGTTTTTAAAAATGATTTCACTCCTGGAGACGGGTTTCTGTATTATGAATGTCTGGCAAAATGTTAAGACCACAGAATGTGAACAAATCCTCTAAATGTATTTACCTTTTCTTGTGTCCAGGGAATTCCATTGGTGCAGTGGATGAATGTCACCCAGATGGACACAGTGTAAAATAAACGCATTATGGCGGGACCGTGGCTTGTTGACGCTCCTCTCCACATTCCTGTCTCTCCTCTGTGAAAGCTTACAGATCATGTGAAAAGCAGGAGGGAGGACCCGAGGCTCTCTAAACCACAGCACGTCACATACTGTTGTGTACGTGTGTGTGTGTGTGTGTGTGTGTGTGCGTCTTACACGCTCAGGAACCTCATGGGTGTTTGTGACATACGGCAGTGACCCCATATCTTCCTTTGATAATTGCTCATTTTCAACAACAGAACTACACATTTACAGTTTACCTATATTAGCCTGGAGGTCACAGACACAGTCTAAGTGTACCCATTATGTCTGGTCAACGTTTAAACGGGAGCTTTATATTAAAGACTATTTAGGAATTATACAGGACCTCGTGTGGTGCTTTGTGTACGGAAGCTTGAATAACTTTTTATATATACTTTTTTAAAATTTTTTTAGAGTGAATCGTAGCTTTAAATATTAATTTAACCTACTTATTTATGTGTAAAAAAAAAAAAGTAAGACCAGCGCTTGGTACGTCATCTATCACGTGGTCGCACTGTCACGTGGTCAAACCCGGAAGTTTGTGCCGTGCGGATTTCATATGTCAACATGTTCTTGTCTCGGAGTCACACTGTAGCGATATCAGAATTGTAGCGGTTTTCTTTTAGACACATCTTTGTAAGTGCGGCTGTTTCCTTTGTGCCAGCAGTAATGGCCGAAGAGGTGTGCTGCTTGAAGGCAGAGCTCCAGGAGAAAGAGAAAGAGATAAATGCTCTGAAGAACAAACTGGCACAACTGGAAAAGGTACCAAAGTCTTACTGGATGCTAAGCTCAAACTATTGCTTATCCAAATATGTAGTCAGCGCCAGTATCATTTTGTTTTTATGTCTCTTTGCCTCGTTTTCTGTCTAGCAGCTTAGCATAATGTCACTATACCATATATATATGTTAGCGGACATTGTTTATAGTCTGTCATGGAACCCCAGTAACTTCTGGACAACATCTGGACACTTGATCTACACATCTAACTTACTTTGTTAGCTTGCTAGCTGGTTAGCTGATGTTTAGCTGAGGAAAGAACATACACAGTACATACAGACATTGAATAAACATCAACATCTGTGGACATATATATGAACAAATGAATCAGTAAATGGGAGATCACACAATACTCGTGTGAATATCACATCATCATTGCATTAAAATACAGCATCACATGCATAAACACTTGTACAATTGTACAAACAAGAATGCAGTGCTGTATTCATAGATCCAGATGTTTTTTAGTTAATAAATAAGTCCATGGCCAATATGCTAAAAAAAAAGGCAGAAGACCTGCAAACCTGGTTGGCATTTAAAAGGGTCCAAAATAAATCTGGATATTTCAAACTAGCACACTAAACTAATTCAATCTTAAATGCAAAATAAGCACACCACAAGCCACTTAAATCCCTTCCTATAAAGAGTGCTTCCCAAATAGCTCCTTATGTCAGGCAGATGGGCTGTAGACGTATGTACAGAGAGATATAATTGTAGCTCATTATACTATAGAGGCAGACTGTTAATGGCTGTAAATGATGCCACATTGCTCAAAGCTCCTGTTGGTTAAACCTGTTTCTTATATCTTGTGTAATAATTCCACCCTCAGAGCCATACATCAGTACTGGAGCTGTATGACAAAGTCACACTACTAACCCCCCTGAAAGCCAAACCAGCCCTCAGCAATGAGGACATCATGCGGTACAGCAGACAGCTCCTTCTGCCCGAGCTGGGTGTACAAGGTACGGATGGCTACAGACACTGTTGTTCTCATATACAGTACAGGAAGCATTCTGTCAAGTGAGATTTTATGGCATGACTGAACACAGAGTGAGTCTTGATTGTCCACAGGTCAGCTACACCTATCCAAGACCTCAGTGCTGATTGTGGGCTGTGGAGGACTGGGCTGCCCCCTGGCGCAGTATCTGGCAGCAGCAGGCATCGGTAGGTAATGGAGTTGATAAATGCTCAGTGTGACCTTGTGCCGAATCAAATCATTAACCCATCTGTTGTTGTCCTCGAAATAACTGGACTGTATGGGTTTGAGTAATTGTCGAGCTCTCAACGTCTTTCTCTTTTCGGGGAAAGACGATCTGGTAAAGTAAATAATTTTACCTGTGGGGGAGAGGTTTGCAACCAGAATTATTCATTTACGTTTCCTAAAGAAATATATCACACTACCTATTTTTAGTGCTGTTAAGTAAATAAAATCAAGTACACTGAGCAAGCTTAGGTAAGGAGACAAGAGTATATTAACAACTGGTAATTGAAGACTCACTTATTATGTGAATATATATATATTTTTAAAGTATTATTTAGGCTTTTATTGCTTTTGTTAGTGACAGCTGAAGAGTGACAGTAAGGGGGGGGTGACAGGCAGCAAAGGGCCACAGGTCAGAATCAAACCAATAGCCGCTGCAGCAAGGACTCAGCCTTGGTATTTGGGACGCTAGCTCTACCAGGTGAGCCATCAGGACGCCCCAATATGTTTTTCTTTTACGATCAAAATTATACTATCTGTTGCCTCCGGTGAAGTTTCAACTGCGCTTTGGCTAAAGGAAAGGGATGTAGAAGTTTGTGTAGAGTTTGTGTAACATTAGCTTTCTGTTTAGGGGCTGAGTCGCTGACTGTGGTCAGTGGTTAGCACAAACAACATTTGAGAAATGGCAGTAAACACAAGCTATAGATAAAAAGTGTGGTTACATTTGTACCCTGGTTATAAAGTTGAATCTACATGGTTTGCCACTGTCATCGGGGGTATGACATTTATTCAAAAGCCTTTCTGACTGGCTTGTTTTTCTTTGTGTCTCTGCAGGGCGCCTGGGCCTGCTGGACTATGACGAGGTGGAGCTCAGTAACCTGCACAGACAGGTGCTTCATGGGGAGGAGAACCAGGGCCAGGCCAAGGCTCTATCTGCTGCCAATGCAGTTAAAAGGTACTGACTGACAGTACATGGAGGTCAAAAGCACCTTAATACCAGTATCATCTAGTAGAACAAAAGCGTGTTAGAGCATTTGAGAAATGTATTCCTGCACAAACGGACCTGAAACAGAGAAGCTAGTATTTTGATATTATTAGTAAATGTTCTGCTCTTAACTATGATAATTGGTGTACTTCTATATTTTTTCGTGACCCTTCGGTTGCTGTATAATGGATGCTGGCGCTTTCCAGTCTCACCACAGGTTATATTTGGTTGTGTATTTCTCCCCAGTCTGCAAATATTGTGTAAACATGTTATTTTAGAGACAGCTGTTTTTGGTGCCTTTCGCCCTCACAGTAGGCCTACTGTGGTTAGCATACACATTGTATAGCCATGACCACATGAGGGCGCCATTTCTCTGGCTAACTTGTACAGTGTTTTGATGCTTTGTCCCAAAAACACCCTCTCACATTTATTGTTCATTAAAGATTATTAATTAAATGCATAATTCAACTTACAATATAAGAGTCTTGAGTGATAATGTCTGTTTTTAAGATTATTTATTTGTCTTTGCACATTTTTCATAGTTGAGACAAACAGTAACGATTAGGAGGGAGAGCAAAGCAGGGGGGCAGACATGTGACTAAGGTCCCATGTCAGATTCAAAACTCACATGCTGCTGTTTTGGTTTGTTCTTGGTTTAACTGAACCACCAATATGGCTCTGATATTCATTTTAAAGAGGGTGACCAAAATACTAATCTGTTTTTATTAAAGCTGCCAATTATGGTGGACTAAAGACATCTTAGTAAATAAACTGATATTTTTGAATGTGTCTTTATGTCTGCAGGTTGAACTCAACAGTTGAGTGTATTCCCTACCACCTGCAGCTCTCTCCGGAGAACGCCTTGCAACTCATTCAACAGTATCCTGCTACAAAGCCCTCAACCAACATCTGTTACACAGACCTGGCAGTCTCATTCAGGCCTAGGATTGCTTATAGTGCATAAAGAGAATTTTAGATATTCTGTTGAGAAATGTGTATTCAATATGTGACTAACCAACTATATGAACTCTGTTAGTGATGACACCTTGACTCTGCTGACCTCATATATGACATTGTGGCTGATTGTTCAGACAATGTCCCCACTCGTTTTCTGGTGAATGACGCTTGTGTGCTCAGTGGCAAGCCTCTGGTGTCAGCAAGTGCCCTGAGAATGGAGGGGCAGGTAAGGTAGAAATCTTACATCAGCTCCTCTAGATTTGTAATGTTACTTTACTTTATCTTGCTTTATCTTGTGTGTGTGTGTGTAGCTGACCGTATATAACTACCAAGGAGGCCCCTGCTACAGATGTCTGTACCCAGTACCCCCACCCCCAGAGACAGTGACCAACTGTTCTGACGGAGGGGTGTTAGGAGTGGGTGAGTCTTGTCCCCTTGCTTGCCCAGGAAACATTAACTTTGCACAGAGCACAGTCTGTGTAAATGATAGTTGTTGGTAAAGTGTTCCACTTTTCTTTAAGTACCAGGGATAATGGGCTGCTTCCAAGCACTGGAAGTCCTCAAGATTGCCTCTGGGCAAGGCTGTATCCTTTTAACTCCTACATTACATACAGTACCTTCTTTGGCCATTTTGTTGCTTTATATCAGGATTTTCTGCCTAGTCATCTGGATGAATCAACAAAGAACTGCTGAAAGGGTTTTCATTGTAGCAATGTTAGGGATGAGAAGGGTTTCTTTGTGCCTGTCTGATAAAATAAAGTAAAAACATTCTCTGGACTCCTGCTGACTATTCATTTGCCGTTCCTATGAGAACTCTTATGAAGCTGCTGCGGTTACAGTGTTCTCATGCTAATATCAAGACTCACATCAGAGAATAGTCGTGCCTTAACCTGCCTCCTGTCTTACACTGTAATACCCATACTAACACCTGGCCCCTAATGCGTCAGCCAGGGAAGTTTTGCAACCAAAACCTCAAAATTGTTTTATGATGTTTGTACACAAATGGGAGACGTGGCAGCCGAATTCTCTGAATACTGATGCTTTTTCACAAACTGGCCTTTTCCTTAACGCCGCGTGGCAGCTTCCTGCGGCCAGCAGCTAGTAATGTTTGACGCTCAAGACGCCAGATTCAGGTCCATCAAGTTGCGGCCCAAGCAGGCCGGCTGTGCGGTGTGTGGCGAGAACCCCAGTGTAACGCAGCTGGTGGACTACGAGGCTTTCTGTGGGTCTGCTGCCACAGATAAGGTTGGTCATAAGAGATGAAGCTGAGGGGGCAACTCATATAACGGGGTAATGCTCATTTTCATAGGAATGTTGCTTTTTGATGTGATAAAAAAGTGTTTCTGGGATTTACAATGACACACAAGTATTCTCTGATCATAGGAAAAATCTCTCATTGCCTGATTTCCTCTGTTTCAGTGCCGCAAACTCAACCTCCTTTCCAGAGATCAGAGGATCACAGTACAGGTAGGGAACGTACACCACAGCACAGTTGCCCGTTGCGTGACTCCCTGTATTTAGTGCTGTTCATTGTATGATTACTCACAATTTTCTCGGTTTTTATTTGCATTCATAAACTGATTACATCTCAGCGCTGACCCAGCCCCAAATGGGAAATGACTTAAAATGTGCCCGTAGATTTTCTATGGGAAAGAATAATATGTTCTGTTTGGCACTGGGAGCAGTGGTAGTGGATTGCATCTGTTTATGTTTCTGCAGAATTGGCACTTTCAAACCCACTGAGTCATTAAGCGCAGAGATGGGGATCATGATTGATTGGGCTGTAATCGAGATTGTGCAAGGGGCTCCAGTTAGAAGCAGTTTTGTTTCCTGTGATTTAAGGAAAAGCAGTTAAAATGTTCATATTACTCCACAAATACAAATCCCAGAAACATTTCAACATTTGCTGTGAGTAGTTTGGTTTTCCCTGTTTAACTATAGATATCAATCAATGTCTTTTTTCCAAAAGATAAAGCCACACTTCTCTCTAATAACTAAGTTATTAGTCTTTATGCATTAATGAATGTTTTAATGTAATTCCAGGATTATAAATTGATAATAGATAATGCAGAGCCCCATCTCTTGTTGGATGTGCGCCCCCTTGTGGAGGTGGACATTTGCCACTTACCTTTCTCCCTCAGTATCCTTTTTAGCGGCGGGGGGCACAAACATCAGTCTCACTTTGTCACACTGCTGTATTGCCTGTTCCTATTTGTCCTATTTCCTGTTTCCGTGTGATTATTGTCCTTATACTGCTGCCAGACATTCCCCTCTCAAGTTTAGAGGAGAGGAAGAGTGAACATATCCGATTACTACAGGAGAGAATCAGCCAATTGAAACAGCAGATGGCAGGTGACTGCCGGCCTCCAGGTAACATGTCAAAACACCATTTAGGCTCCGTACATGTTGTTTGAAATGAACAGGCAAGCAGAGACACTAGTGCATATTCACAGCCCACTGTGTAGTCTCATACTGCCGGGCTGGAGGCTTATTTTGGACAGCTAGTAGCAGGTTGTAATGGGGTTGCTAGGTGACCCCTTTTCCAAAACAAGTACGGGCAACCTGAGCAGCTGGCCTGCTTTAGAGAAATTAATATTCAAAATGTTATTTTGGTGATGTTCTGGATATTCACTGTGTGGAGCTTTCTTTATCAATGAGCTAAATTTAGCCTTAAGGAGTTTTAGCTTAGCATTTAATACAGTCTTGGTTGTTTATTATATGGTCAGTTTTTGCATAATCAACTCTGGGAGATTTTAAACACTCTTGTGTGCAGATTTGTGTCCCCTGTAGTGTCTCTCTTTGGTCTTTCATTATATGAAATAGCTAAGGTGTTAATAAGCAATATGATGAAGTCTTTCAGATCCAAACGTATCTCTCTGTGTTATCTCTTCTGTGCTTCCTCCAGTGTATGTGATCTGTAAGCTGGGTAACGACTCTCAGAAGGCGGTGCAGGCTGTGGAGAAGATGAGTGGATCGGAAGTGGACCGTGTCACAGTCAAAGACATCTGTGGAGGCCTCATGGCATGGGCAAAGAGAATAGACCCCACGTTTCCACAGTATTAATGCATTTGAAAGGCTTTTATATTAATAAACTACAATCTGTTTGTCATCTTTGTTGATTTGTTTTCTTATTTGTATATATATTGAACATTTCAGGTAAGGTGCCATTATTGAATTGCCCACAGACTGTACATACCAAGTGTAACAATGGTACACTTCCTAAAATGCATTGTGTAATCTACTGTGTATCAGTTCATCAAAAACATGAGCTGGCAGTCTGAAAACACGTAAGCATCCTTGCAAAATCAAGTCCCTCTTCCTGTTTTTTTATGTCAAATCGTTAGAAGTTCACTTAATTTAACAGTTTGAGTCCCCATATCTAATAAAGTAAACCTACATTTCCTATGTCAGTCCTAAGGCAGACACAATAGTCCACATGCCCCTATTTTAGGCTGTCCTTATGCTGAGAGACAGCACAGTAAAGTCTGAAGCTATGATCAGAGAACTCAAACTTCTACTTTCTTTGTTGATTTCCTAAAGCAGACTGAACTCAATCCACTCTTCATTTTGCTGGGGACATAAGAACCCCTTCCAGCCCCTGTGAGAACTCCTGGACCCCACTTTGGGACCCACAGTGTATTACAAACCGATCCGGCTCGTGTAGAATAAAGTTTTTTTTTTCTTTGCATGACTAAGTTGAAATAACGGAAAAGAAAGGCACATGCGCATTGGTCTGAGCTCCATCGGAGGCGCCATTGCTTCACAGGGACTGTAGTTCAAGTTTTCCTCCCCACACATGGAAAGTCAGTTATGCGGAGATAATAAAAAGACTCCAAGCCCCAGCCACGGCTGCTGCTCTTTTTTTTTTCTCGTCTAGCGGGGGGAGTAGTCACAGCTGGAAGGATAATAAGATGCGCATGAATTTACAATCTGAACTAAAAAGATAAGAGAAAATAAATGGACGACTCGATTAGTTTTAGCGCGCCTGTGTGAACAACTTATGTCGGTATTTGCTGTGTGTAGGCTACGACGCTGCGCTTTGACTTCCAGAAAGTGCAGAATTATAAACTTCGGTCTCCGCTTCCCTCGGTTGATGGAGTTGCAAAGTTTCTTCAGTCCACTCACAATGGAAAGAAAAGCTCCCTTCGCTGACTGTGAAGGTAAAGTATCATTTCAGACATAGTTAAGGCGACGTTTTAAACGAGCTTTACGTGGAGGTACAGCCCGACTGTGACAAAGTGTCCCCTGAATGTGTAAATTCGGGTCTTGTATAACTTGTTTTGCTGGCATTCTCGACTCGGGTTGTGTTCTGCCAGCGAGCCAATCGAAAGTGGGAGGGGTGCAGATGTTCAGAAGCCTTGGTTCCAGATGTTTGTGGAGGTTGAATTCTTGTAAACACACAAATGATACGCTTTATCGACTTTTACGTGTCTTTTAGGTTGTTGTCTGTGTTTTGGCGCACGAGCTTAAAGGCCCGTTGCGATAATAAGTTTGTTAAATAAACCAAAAGTAAAAAAAAAAAGGTTCGAAGTTAAAAGTAATGATATCATACACAAACGTTTAATTTATGTCTCCTTTAGCGCGGTCCATGTCCCAAAAAGGCAATATGAGATAGCTTAAAGCCAACTCTGGGAAGTTCTTGCAATCAAAACAATGCTAACCAACAGCAACACAACACAGGTAGTGATCCAATTGATAGGCAGGGAGAAGTAAAGTGTTCCAGTTTAAAGAGACAGTTCTAGCACAGGTAAATACTGATGAAGGTTTTGGGGTCTTGATTTAAAATAAGTATGTGCCTGTTTGGAAAGTGGGTGGTGAAATCCGTTTCTGTGTGTGTTGTATTTAAGAAGGCAGATTGGCTGAAACATGTTTTTCTAAATGAATTGAACTAAAAAGTGTTCACAGTGGGAAGAAAAGTAGCTCTTTCATTCATACAGCGAGGCTGCTTTGCCTTACAGCAGAATGAGAGCCTAATGTGCACCAGTCCTTTGCTTTCTCTACTGTATTCAGATAGGTGAATACTTTTGTCATTATAAAAAAAGTTTGTGTGTGTGTGTGTGTGTGTGTGTGTGTGGTGACAGGCTTCCTGTGGTCAGAGTGGATTACTGACCTCAGTAAGGAGAAGGAGCACCACTCCAGGATATGAAGGTTGTTGCAGTGATTTTACTGCACAAGTCTGCGGATCGATAGAGACTTTTCCTCCATCACCTGCCCCGTCTAGTGAATGAGTGTGTGCTGCGTGAGCTCAGGTGGGCGGATCGGCTATTACCCTCTTAAAAACAATGTTGCTTTGATAAAAACATACAGTGATGACTCACTACGACTGATGAGGACCAAAGATCCCCCCTACCAAGAGTCTGTCCACGGAGATCCAACCCTGCTTTTTTCTGCCAGCCCTCACTAAAACCTCTACTATTCAGCATTTCACGTTGCCATTGGAAGAAACCCAATGTCTGCCTCCTCTCCCCCATCCTTACCTCGAGCCTTTCTCCACTCTCTCCATCCATCATCGAGCCCGCCCGGACCGATCTACACGCGGCTGTCCAACGGCAGTCACAGTGTCCCCAGCCCCACCAACTCCCGCAGTTCCTTCCATGGGGTGTCCTTCCTGCTGCAGATAGGACTGACCAGAGAGACGGTGAACCTGGAAGCCAATGACCTGTCGCTGTCCTCTGTCAAGGACCTGGTGTGCTCCATAGTGGACCAGAAGGTAAGGGTCTTGTCTCATTTGAGCACCTTTTCATATGACTGACACACGTTTCCAGTTAGAAAGGACGTCTCTTATCAAACATCTTTTTCTCCAATGTCCTCCGAAGTGTAAGCACATGCAAACCTATTACAGTTTGCGGTAATACCAAAGGCAGTGGAGGGCCAACATGATGCCCCAACATGTGTTTTGCCATCTTCTACCATATTCATCTGTTTAGGTTTTGTTTTCCAAAGCAGACATCTGGGCCTCGTGCCCCAAAATGAGTCAAGCACAGCAGAAGCATGGACACAACAGCACTGATGCTCCTCCAGTTACAGGACACAGTCTAGTAGCGCCAGTTATTTACATTGTAGTATAATGTTACTGCACTTACATGATGCAAGTGCACGCTTGAAGCTCGTACACAGAACTACTCAGTGGTTTCGCTCTGCCTGTGTGATGTTGGACCTACTTTATTTTCCATGACATTGTCAATGTGTAATGACACTGGAGTGTAGCCTCTGCATAAGAAGGGGCTTTAAACACCAGTATAAGCTGCGTCAGTTCAACATCATTTGCCTTTTCATATTTACTCGCATGAGAATATCCTGAGTTGCAAATCAATGGCACCAGCTTTAATTTGCCTGTTCTTGTTCGTTTGTGCTGAAAGGGGTAGCCCTGATCTCATGGTTTGTGTATACCAGTGTGTGTTTGTGCCTGTTTATAATGTGCAAAGTAACAATGAGGGTAAAACATTTAAATTTTTGTTTCTAATTCAAAGTGGCCCCATATAATAATAAGCATCATAAAACTGGAACACCACAGATGTTATGCCTTTTATGTGAAGTGGTTTTCTCTGTCAGAAAAATATGTTCATTGCCTTACTACAAAACCAAATAAGATCAAAAAAGTATTTGACATAAACTGGAGCGTGAAACCAGCAGTACATTTGTACAGTAAGTATTACAGTACGTGTTGCAAATTAAAATAGGCATTTGATAACATCTGTTATTATTTATTTACTAAATATACCCTGTTTGTACACACATGTAGGTGCTCTAAACCTCTTACTCAGTAATTGTCTTCTTTGAGCCCACGTATGTGTACTTCATTGTAGGATTAATGGTGTGCAAAGCCCGCTGGAATAATGAAATGGCTCCTGTGTGCATTCACACGTTGCTGTTTTTTAACCTCTTGTGTATAATGATGATTACTCTATGTGTGTCTGTAATTATCATTGACTGAATAAAAAGAGGGTGATTAAACAAAGCACTTTCATCAGCCACCACAATCTGAACATTTAGGTCAGTCAGAGCTATATTTGTACTTAAGATGATGATGATGATGATGATGATGGTGATGATGATGGAAAATGGATGAGGAGCAAACTTGTGTTGGAACAACAAGGGGAAGCTAGTGAAGAAGCTATCTGTATTGAGTCTGTGTCCTTTGGTTTCATGTTGTCCAAGTTGACATTCCAGAGGAGCACGGTAATGTTGTTGTTCTTTACGAGGTCTGCTGATTCTCACTAGCTAGTTATGAACAGTTCTGGTTCACAGAGCAGAAAATCTCATCACTGCGCATATTGACATGGATCCTGTAACATATTGGCATAGTTGCAAGAATCTGCAACAGGAAAAGGGTGGGAAATACGATGCTTTGAAGACAGTCCATAAAGAAAATCAGTGTAGTGTGGTGAGTGGGTGCTGATAATCTGCCACGATTAGATCATGATCATCTATTGTCTATGTACACTTCACTATCACTGTTTATCACTTCATATCATATGCATTAATCTAGTGCCACGCACTGTTATAAGATATGGCAGGAAACTGTCTAATTTATGGCCAAGAGTCATGGGAACTTTGAAAAGGCTTTATATACAATACACATCTGAATATACTGTTCATCCTTTAATATCATAATATACTGTACATCATCCCCGCAGAACATATCCAGTCCTTTCTTCAACATTATTGTGCATTTCTTCTATTAAACACTGCCAAATGCAGTGTACGGCCTCAACTATTTCATGAAATCCAGCCATATGGCTTTGATATCAATGGAAAATGTGACTGTAGGCCCTCTGCACTCTCCAGTCCATCCCTGCCTCGCTTCTTGTTCTAAAATATGCATGGCAATGCTGAGCCTTTTTACAAAGTCTGCTCATCCTGGCCAACTTTTCCAGCTGAAGATCTCCCTAGTTCAGCCGTTGACAGTCATCCCAGGATGTCTCCAGTCAGCAGAACCTCAGGTGTCTGTCAGCAGAGGTGAGACAGGAAAAAGCTTTAGACTTCATGTGGTAATATCTGTATGGAGATAGAGTCTGGATGGAAGTGCATTCCCGCCTTAGGGCTGCTGTTTCCTCCACTGAGAGCTGGCCTGCTTCACAAAGTGACTCACCACTCAGCCATGCAACAAACAGGGATGCTTATCCCAACTTAAATCTGTCCATTCAGTGTCAAGTTTTCTGCTGTGTCAGCTGCTGTGAACTTTCAGAGGGGGATTTAGTTGTATGTAAACTGTGATATCAACCATGTGGTAGCCTTCATCCTGAGCAATTTGTCCATCTTCGCGCTGATTATCTGGGTCTGGGTCACTGTGCCAGCAGGGTAAGAACAGCAACCTAGATTTTCTTAGTAGTTCTTTTCACAGCCTCTCACTGTGCTTTCAAGCATGCTGGAAGATGTAGTTCCTCCACTGTGTCCTATCTCAGCCCTGGGTTTTTCCCAGTACGAATCCAAACTACCTCAACTCCTTCCCCTCATTGACCCTTTGGAACAGTAAAGCTGGATTTATAGTCAACTTTGTACTTGAGCGTCAGATTTCACTAGCTGATATCACCACTGCATTGCTAGACGCATGTATTGTATTTAATTAGCCTGTATTCCCTGCAGTAAGTGTGTTTACATTCTATCATTTACTTTGTGATACAGAGAGATGCTGGCCTACACATACACAATTATGAAACTGGAGTTCAAGGACATCAAGGTAACTTGTAACATTATTTTGCCTTGTCTCGTTACTGAATAGGAGACTAAGCCCTTGCAATTGCTGTGTTTACATCAATTCAGCCATATAGAGTGGCATGGTGCTCCCAGTGAACAGAAGGTCTGCAGTGTAATGGCTTTGCTAGATGTGTGTCTTCAACTGCCCTAATGTTGTCTCCTCCTACATCACAAAACACAAGCAGATCAATCACTTGTAGACTCCATGTGGTAGCTCAGTCGCTAAAGTAGCCCCAAAGTGTAGTTAGGTATATCAGGAGGAAAATGTCAGCTATAGTGTAACCTCCTACACATGTAACCCTTTAACGCAAAAGTATAACTCCAGCTTAACATTCATACTTTTTGTTGCAGACAGTGGGCCCAGCCATTCTACACAGAACCCTCATTTAGGCTGCCATCTTATTCTTTCACTTACTGTTCTCAAAGCTTGTGACCATAGCTTAAGGATAGAAACTTGGTTTTCTGGTGAAGTGAGTGCTTTACTTTCTTGCACTTTTGCTGTTGCTAATACTAGACAGCAACATCATGACAAACTAGCTCATGTCCAAATTTCAATGAGCCTTTTTTCAATAAAGATGCTTGATGTTTGCTGAGAAAGCTCACTACAAACCATGGATACAAGCCTGTATGCTATAGCAGATGCAGTTGGACAGCTGTAAGATTAACAGATGTTTGCATGTGGTCTCTTTTACTGTGTATAATGTGTTATGGCTTAGAGGTTGACATTTCATGTCTTTCCTGAAGCCTTTAGTTTTTAATCAGTCTCATTGTTTGACGGGGAGTCATGCAGCCTGTTATACATAGCGGTGTATTGTATAGATTTTGTACGGCTCATTCCTCTTCCTGCTAAAGACTCAACCACATGACTTGGCCAGCGTCCACAGTATAGATTTACTTTCTGTCTGTTCTCTGTGCTGATCTGAAGTTGTTTTTGATAGTAGTGGTTTGGACCACATTCACCAACTTCAGTGGTTAAGGTCAACTTCAGTCCGAGGAAAACCTGATCTTGATATTGTTCAGTCTCAGTCTCTTATAGCAGCTATTGTGGTTCCTGCTCCTGCAATCTACTGAATACTCTAAAGTATGACGATTTTAGCGTCACAGCTTGGCACAAAGGTATCAATACTGAGCCAGGCTCCTTGAGGACTGTGAGAAAAGATGAAGGGAGCCAGCCAGTGGGTGGTGGAGACCCTCCCAGTCGGGTACCATCCAGGCCATATTTGACCCGTGACACGCATTGACAGCCCCCCAGCGGCTACATGCAACTCCCAGTCGGGACAGTCTTGTTTCACTGGTCGGGTCCCGACTTCTCTGTCTGGTTCTTTGGCTTGATGAATGCCGCGAGATAAACATCCATAGCTTCCACTTGTTGAGCGCTTCCTGTTTGGTGTCGCCCAAGTCCTCTCGTGCAGCCAGCAAGGGAGCAGTGGCGGGACAAAAGTTCACGACTCCCTGAGAATGACTCCCAGTTAGCCAGCTGGTCAGCCTGGATAGCCAGCCAGCTACAGAACATTCCTCTTCACCCAGGCATTTTTGGAGGATGATGTGATGTTCGGGATGGGTGGGATTAGACTGCTAGGAAACTGAAATATTTGAAGCTAAACACTTACTTTAGAAGTACTGAACATCTGACAAATTTTGATGGATGCTGTAATGGCAATTCGCACGATCAACACAGTTTAGTTTTCATTCTTTATGGGACTGGGACTGTATTTAATATCCTACAAAGACACAATTGAATTTTCTGGTGAATATTGGCAGCAAATATGTTTCATATAAACAGAGAATTTACAGTGTTTGTGCCAGAGTTTGGCATCAGTTAAAGGTTTTTCTTGCTATCAAAGGGGATGATAAAGCTTAGCAGGAGGAAGGAAATTTGAAGTTCTTTTGGCATAGGTAATGGAAAAAAACATTAAACCTTTGCCTCAAATGTTGGTTTTATGAATACTTTAATTTTAGCGCTTGTCCTTAGGATGTTGCTACGATTTCACTCCAGCTGGAAATGCTGTGAAA